CACTCTCCTCTCTCGGCCTTACTAGGGCATTTAATATCATAAGACGTTGAGATTTTTTTTGTCCTCAATGTTAACTAGTTTATGTTACTTTTAACTTCATCAATGACTACTACGCGCAACTGTTATGTACACGATTATGCAATAAATTATAAAGTAGATCAGTTGTTCGATGCATTAATCATACAACTTTTTTCAGTTCTTAGTAAGTATCGCCTCGAATGATGGTTCTATGACGTACACCGATCAGTAGTAGTAGTTACACATGTAGACTATCGGATTGGGGCCCGCGAGATGATAGTGTGGTGTGAGCTACTTATAAGTAGTATATGACGTGAGTGTCAACGTATTAATGTCTGGCAGCAGAAGATGGGGGAAGATCAAGAAAACAGGAAGAGTTAGAAGAACACAATGGAATTTGTATGAAACGCATGAATAGTAGCGACAATGGATTGATGTTTTTTTTGCAACAGAAACAGTCCAGTTCGATAGGATGAACTGATACTTTGCAAATGAGCGATTTACGAAATGGTTTTCCGATTTTACTGAGTAACTCTGTAATTTTCGCTAAATACGATTCGGTTGTCTCACCTGTGTTCTCGTTCACTACAATAGTAGTGACCAATGGTTAGGGACCTTGAAAGACATAGCTGAAAATCGTTTGCAATGGCATAGCGGGTGCACATCCATTCTTTGTGTTCTCTCAAATTCTAACCTTCATCTCTTTCCTGTTCAAATTTATTTCACTGCATAATATCTTCAAACATTAATCTTTCCGTACACTGATCATACTTCTCTACTACTATGGGACTTACAGTGACAATTCCATCTCTGTTTGTATGAATTTTGATATGGCAACTTGAACTAATGTACGTATGTACGAAGTTGTGCGTTGTAACTGACTGACTGACTGACTGCACATTTGATATGTGTTTCAGTCAGTTGTTATCATCAGTGGTATACAAGAAGGGTAAGTGGTAGAAGAGATAAAAGAGAAAACATGGTTGATTGGTGAAAACCGAAATATCACAACAGTAGAATTATTTTAATTATCAATGTTGTAACGCTTGCTTGAATATAATTCCCAGCTAAATCCTATTGCTCTTAGTATTCTCTGACCACACAATACACTGGACAAGTTTCAAAGAATCAAAAAACACGGTTCAGCAGGAAAAGATTATATTCCAAAATAGCAAGGTTAAATGGAAATAAGAAGCTAGAGGTGATGTCGAAGGCGAAGGCAAAAATAGATACAACGTTACTTTCCTTATAGCATTTATATGAGAAGCTACTGGATAGTAGTAATTCACGTGATCGACTGCATTAGATTTAACCAATCAGCACGCAGCTAACAGTACGAGAATCTTCTACCTTGTTCTCCAAGATTCGATCAGGCGCTGATTGAATAGGAAATTAGCCAATCAGCACGCAGCTGACGTAGTCATGCTTTAATTCCATCTATATCCCACTAACAATTAATAATAGTAATGTTGAGAATAAAATTCAAGTTTCCATTAGAGTATTATGGAGTCATTGTTAGACCACCATTAAAAACCTGGAAGCAGCACTGGACGGCTTTTTCGTCATATAATGTATGGGGCTCATCATGGATATGCACAGTGCAGATGAGTCCCCATACCAGAACAAAACGACTATGAGATGGTGGAGAAAACTTGTAGCTCAGGTGGATGATTGTAGTGGTGTTTCGTTCTTTGAGTTGGTTGTTTTGGTTGTGGAGCTTTCATCGTTCTTCCGCTGAACAACATCATCATCAGCACAAACTCCAGCTGTGGAAGAAGTGAAGTATTCGAATTTCTCCACGTGTTTGACCTGTAGCTTGTTCTGCCAACCTCGATCTTGATTGGTTGTTGTTGACTTTTGACAGCAACAACCCAAGAACCCACAACATTAACTGCATACAAACTTTGTTCAAGAGAGCGAAGACACACTGCAACACATACGAAGCACTAAAAAACGAGGAAAAACATCTTATGACTATCTTCCAAAAGAACGGCTATCCACGCAACTTCATCAAAATACATCAACCGAAACCATCATCAGAAGCGAAATCAAGCACAGGAACAAATAAACGGATCATCCTGCCATACATCAAAGACATATCGGAGCATACAGCACGACTATTGAGACCATTTGGAATAGGTGTAGCACACAAACCAACAGAATCACTTCAATCAATCCTATGTTGTAGACCAAAGGACAAAATGACCAAGGAAGGAAAACCAAATCTCATCTACAAAATAAATTGCTCAAACTGTGAGAAGAAACACTACATAGGACAAAGTGGACGACCTCTTCATCTCCATTTACGTAAACATCAATTAGCAGTCAAACGCCACGACAACGCTTCGCTTATAATAATACACACCGACAATTATGGACACACATTTGATCGGAACAATGTGGAAATACTGAGTAGGGGGAGGACAAAGAACACTGGGGAATTTTTAGAAGCTTGGCACTATCAGGTCAATTAGCAATCAACAAACACATCGACACGGACCCAATTTATCAACCAATCAGAAAACTCATAGGTGACATAAGATCAAGAAACAGATCAAAGGTGGGGTGCAATCAAAACAAAGTTGTTGTTCAGTAGAAGAACAATGAAAGCTCCACAACCAAAACAACCAGCTCAGAACGAAACACCACCACTAAACGACTATCTAGTGCTTCCTGGTTTTTAAAATTGTCACAGTCTAACAATGATTTATTCATGATTTCAGTGTGTAAAATAACGATCTCCATTATACTATTTATTATACAAAATAAAAGATAATGTATTCTTTAGTGATTAACTTCGTGATAAGATTTGTCGGAGTTCTAGCCGGAAGCCTGTCGGGGGTGTACACAGTAATTACAGAAGACAATAGGTGGGGGTTGCACAAAATCCTTATATTGTGATCAGAGTTAGGATATTAGCACCGTTGGATGCTAGTTCAAGGTCTTGAGTTCGAATCCTGCCGAGTAGTAGGAGTCGTGCATGTCCACGGCTAATAAGTAGTAGTCCCATATGCACTAGGACGAATCGGCTGTCTTTCATTGCTTCCATGTTTTTGATGTTGGTTGTCTGACAATCATTCATTCATAATTTCAATGTCAGTCAGTCAGTCAGTCCATACCTAGAACTCGTTTCCTAACGACAGCATTGCTTACTTGGTTGTCCCATGATATACGAGCAATGCTTCGAAGACACGTATGATCGAAAACCAATATCCGACGAGTATCTTCTAGTCTTAACGGCCATGTTTCGCATTCATATAGGAGGACGAAGTGAACTGCTGCACAGTACACTCGATCTTTGTTTAACAAACGGATATCACGCCTACGCTATAGGTGATGCAAGTTGGCAAAAGCCAATCGAGCTTTCTGTATCCGAGCTGAGATTTCGTCAGTCACCAGGCTATCAGCGCTGATGAGACTCTCGATATAAGTGAAGCGGTAAACACGCTCAACTGTTTCACTCTCTATCACAAGTTCAGGTGCCGATGCAACCCAGTCTTGAAGCAACATTTTGCATTTCGAGGGTGAGAACCGCATCCCGAACATGCTCGCATTGTTGCTTATGGTAGTCAGAAGAAGACTGTGCATTTTGTCAGCGTTTTCACCGAATAGAACTATGTCATCGGCATATTCCTGGTAGAAGGTCAACCCCTGAAAAATCTGACGAGCTTAATGTTAACTCTAAGAGGATTTCTACGTGTATCGTGTATCCGGTAGCCCTGATGCTGCTTCCAGGGGTTTCGTTGGTGTAGGTATAGCGTTGAGTCGTAGGGCAGAACAATCTCTCCTTGACTGAATAATTTCAAATGTTAAATAATTTCTTTTTTTTTTGGTACTGAGCATAATTATCTTTTTAAAGTATTTACATATTTTTCAATGGCATCCATACGTACTCTCTCTCTCTGTCTGTGTGTGTGTGTGTTTGTTCGTATGTATGAGATGTGATGTGATGTGATGAGATGAGTTAAGATACGATGAGATGATAATTAGAAGAGAGACAGTGCAAATAGTTTCTTTTTTTTCATTTTTACATTTCAATAATTTTCTAAAACATTTCAATGAAATAATTGACAGCTGAATGACTATTTGACAATTTGACACACTTTGAAAAAACTAATCAAGAGAATATGCAACATATATATATATATATATATATATATATTGATTAGTCTTTGATGATGATCAGTTTACTGATATCTCACTTTGAAACTAGTGGTGAATCAGTGATGTGTGTGTAATCGATATTCCTTAGGTTACTATACTGGTTTTTGGATTATAGAGATGTTTAAGAAGCATTGCTCGTGTATCGTGGGACAACCGAGTAAGCAATGCTATCGTTAGGAAATGAGTACTAGGTGTAAGGATGGCTGATCAATTGATGAAGTGGTGAAACTTCATCAGTTGAGTTGGTTGGTACATGTGTTACGTATGCCTAACCACCGACTGCCTCGACGAGCTTTGTTTTGTAGTGTAGTAGGAGTACGTTGGAAGAAAGTTAGGGGCGGCCAGACCAAAACATGACAGAACTCCATTAAGTCACTGACAAGTGGACTGAGTCATGTTGGTAGGCGTTGACTACCTGGTTGGGGTCCAAGAGAGGAAAGTCACCAATGGTTAGAGACCTTGAATAACGACATGGCTCAAAATCGTTTGCAATGGAGCATGTGCATCCATTCGTTATGTTCTCTCAAATCCTAATCATCTAGAATCGTCATCACCTCTACCTTTGTCTTTCTAACCTTATCTCACTCACTGAATTATACTTCTTGAATAATATCTTCAAACCCTTTAGTCTTCTTCATCACCATTAATACCTCTACTATCTCTACTATCACTATGGGATTTGATTTGACATTTGCGTTTCTGTGCTAATGTGGTAGTATGGCAACATGAATTTATGTGTACATACGTACGTAGTTCTACGTTGCAATTTGACTGACTGACTGACTGACTAATTTCATGTGTGTCTTTGTTTATCACAGAGTTCAATTGCTTTTGAAATTAAAAATGATCAAAAAATCACAACAGTACGTCGTTTACCAATCGTGTCAACACGACAACTTTCTTCTCAATCTTCTAATCATAGCCAGAATACTGGTAATAACAAATTACAAAAATCCATTGGTCATTTCAGTAAAAAGAAATCGCATAATTTCAATTCGAAATCTTCATACTCTTCATCCAAATTAATGATGACCACAACGAATAGTATGGTTGCTACTGCTGCTGCTGCTGTGGCTACTAGTACTCCAGCCGTTCCTCATTAATGATGCTGCTGAACTATGATCAACCTTGTACATTGTTCTCTCTCTTTTTTTAAAAAAAACGTAAGTTAATCTGATTTGAAATATCATGTATTTTATTATAGTGTGTGATAAAAAAAAACCAGTTCATATCTGTCGTTGTAATGATGAATGCAGTACACTGTTTTTTTTTTTTACCGTTGACACATTATTGTTGTTACTACTGACTTTTGTACTATTTTGGTAATGGTGTGTGTGACGAGCTACTTATAAGTAGTATATGACGTGAATGTCAACATAATGTCTGGTGGCAGCAGAAGATGGGGGGGGGGAAGATCAAGAAAGGGAGGAAGAGTTAGAAGAACACAATGGAATTTGTATGAAACGGACGCATGAATAGTGAGTGACAATGGATTGATGTTGTTTGCAACAGGAACAGTCGTCCAGTTCGATATGATGAACTGATATTTTGCAAATGAACAACGGTTTACGATATGGTTTTCCGATGATTTTACTGAGTAACTCTGTAATTTTCGTTAAATACATAATTCGGTTGCCTTCACCTGTGTTCTCGTTCACTACACACAATTTAAAATAATTGAACATTACTAATGAGTAGTATGTGATCAAGAAGAAACAAAAACAATATTAACTTAGTCATATTACGAATTAGCCGATTGGGATCTGGGTAACAATCATACCTAGTGGTTAGAGACTTTGAATGACATGTCTCAACTCAAAATCGTTTTTAATGACGCAGATACATCCATCCTTAAAATTCTAATCTTTGGAATTGCTCATAATTGAAAAGGTGACAATTTGATTATTGTCTGTACTAATAATGTGACATGGCAATTTGAACTTACATACATATGTACGAAGTTCAATGTGTTCTAAGGACTTGACTAATGAATCGGTTACGTTATTTTTGTTGATGGGCAGTTGAACTGAACCAAATTAGGTGGTGTAGAGTTAGTTAGTTAGTTGGTCAGGGTTCGTGTGACGATCATAACCAGTGGTTAGAGTCAAACAATCAGTCAGTTGTAACGTAGAACTTCGTACGTAAGTACATCAGTTCATGTTGACATACCACATCAGCACAGAGATGCAATTGTCAATTCAAATCCAATAGTAGAAGAAGTAGTAAAGATATTAGAAGTAATCGGAGAGGTTAGGATTAGAAGATATCATTCAAGAAGTATGATTCCATGAGATAAGTTTAGAAAGTAAAAACTAGAGTTGTTGAAGAATCCAGAAGATTAGGATTTGAGAGAGCACAAAGAATGGATGCAGCGGCGCCATTGCAAACTGTTTTGAGCCATGTCATTCAAGGTCTCTAACCATCGATTTTTATCATCTCGCGGACCCCAACCAGGTGTAGTCGACAATTTCCGACATGACTCAGCCCACTTTGAATGACATGTTTGAAACTTGTTTGCGATGGTACAGATTTGTCGAGTTTTTCTTACTCCAACTCATAATTTAGACGATTGCCTTATAGTAAGTACTTGTACTATTCTGAGATTTGAAGTGACAATGCCACACCATGTTTGTGTGCTAATTTAAGTGATCAGTCAATAGAATATTGTAAGATGCACAAAATCATATATGCAAAACACAGAGTCAGCGAGTCAACTACAGCGCAGAACTTCGTACTTCATGGATTTGTACGATATATTTTGGTTTGACCCGTACCTAGCTTTCTTCCAATCTACTCTTACACTACAAAACATAACTGGTCAAGGCAGTCGGTGGTTGGTCATTGGTAACACCTTAACTGATGAGGTTTCAATACTTCATCTATTGATCTGCCGTCCGTATCTCGTACTTGTTTCCTAACGATGACATTGTCAAATTCTAGTCTTCTGAACTCCTTATCATATCTATCTTTCTCTTTGTAGATTTGTTTCACAGAATTATATTACTTCTTGAATAATTTCTGTGAACTCTAATCTTTTCCATTATCGATAATACTTCTGCTGTCTGTACTATTATCGAATTTGAACTGTGCTCATGTAGTATGTCAGTCTAAACTTATATGCATACATACCAAGTTCTACGTTGTAAGTGACTGACTGACTGACTGAACGACAACATTGTTTACTCTATTGTCTCAGGATATACGGGCAACGATTTAAAAACATTTATAATCGAAGACCAGCCACAAACGAATATCTTCTACTCTGACTGGCCATGTTTCGCATCCATATATATAGTAGGGCGGAGCGACCAGTGCTGCACAGTACACTCATCCTTTTAGTCAGCAAACGGATATCTCGCCTACGCCAAAAGCCTTCTGTATGCGGGCTGTGATTTCATCACACACACACACACACACACAGGTCATCAACACTGATGAAACTCCCAAAATAAAGAAATTAACATGATTACATCATTAGCAATGGACTTCGCAGATGACTTGGCTCTTCTATCGCACACGCAACAACAAATGCAACAGAAGACGACCAGTGTAGCAGAAGCCTCTGCAGCAGTAGCAGGTCTCAACATACATAAAGGAAAAAGCAAAATTCTCCGATACAACACAACATGCACCAACCAAATCATTCTTGATGGAGATGCCTTGGAGGACATTAAGACCTTTACATATCTGAGCAGCAACATCGACAATCAAGGCGGATCCGATGCAGATGAGAGAGTGCGGATTGGCAAAGCAAGGGCTGCATTTCTACAGTTGAAAAATATCTGGAACTCTAAACAACTTTCAACCAAAACACCAAAATCACGATTTTCAATACAAATGTGAAGACAGTTCTACTGTATGGAGTGGAAACATGGAGAACTACGAAAGTCATCATCAAGAAGATACAAGTGTTTATGAACAGTTGTCTACGCAAAATACTTCGGATTCGTTGGTCAGACACGATCAGCAACAACCTACTGTGGGAGAGAACAAATCAGATTCCAGTGCAGGAGTAAATCAGGAAAAAGCGTTGGAAGTGGATAGGACACACACTACGAAAAGCACCTAACTGCGTCACGGGACAAGCCCTCACTTGGAACCCTCAAGGCAAAAGGGAAAGAGGAAGGCCAAGGAATACATTACACCGAGAAATAGAGAAAGATATGAGAGGAATGAACAAACATTGGACAGAATTGGAAAGGGAAGCCCAGGACAGAGTTGGTTGGAGAAAACTGGTGAGCGGCCTATGCACCATTGGGTGTAACAGGCGTAAGTAAGTAATCATTAGCAATGTAATTATTATGAGCCAGCCACCAACTTTTGCGTAACTATTTTGTACAATAATAATAATATTCATATTAACATTGTATGCTCACCTATAGTGAATAATAAGTCCTTTTTATTCTTGTTACATTGTGTTTTATATATTTAGAATATATTTTTCTAATCTGAATTGTTTCGCCTTAAAAAGAAAAACACATCACAACGAAAACCGAAGCGCTGATCCCCATCCTCCTCCTCCTCTTCATCTCGACCATCAATCGACCGACCGATCGATCGATCGATCAATGAATCAAGAAGCTGCTAAATTTTCTGTCAAATCTCTCTGTCTCTCTCTATCTCTCTTCATTGGATTCACATTCCAGTGAAACACAACCACCTTGTTAGTTTTTTCTCCGACATATTTTAATTATTATTATTATTATTACTATTTTGTTAATGATCATTTTTTATCCTTTTTAATGAATCTTGATTGAGGTACTGCTGCTGACTACAACAACTACTGTTACTACTACTCTCACTCATTCTCTTCAGGCGTTCCTTCTTTTTTTTTTGTACACCCAACTAGCCATTTTGTATGTATGTAATTACTATATTTTTTTTTGGTTTTTGTTCAATGAACGTTGAATCATGTTGAATCTTTTTTGTTTTTTCATCAACGTCATCGCCAACATCGTCTTTGTCATTGTTGTCTTCGTTATCGCCAACCTTCAACATGTCTACTACCATCTATTTTTTTTACACACACACACGCGATGCGCGGAAAATTTAAACAACAATCATGTTCAATGATCAATATTGATCCCGGTTCTTTACTTAGTGTTTACTCTTGTTTGTATTTTCTAATTATTTTCTGTTCTACAAAAAAAATGAAAATTATGCAACTGTTGTATAGAGTATTTGTGAAATGATCAATGGGGAGAGGGGTGTGGCTGGCAAATGCAAACACGATTTGTAGAAAATTGTTTTTTTTTTTACAGAAAAGAAAATGTAATTAATTCTCTTTTGGGTTTTTTTATGTTTTCTTCTCTAAATTCAATGGTAAATGTGCTGTTACAGAAGGGGTAAGGTGATGGATGATAAGTTATGGCGAGTTCACTTTGAAATTGAATGGAGAATGATTAGGAGGTTGTAAAGGCAGCAACTCAAGAGGTCTGAGGGTGAAGTCGTACTGTTGTAGAGAGATGTGAAAGTAGTAAGTTGTTCGTCTGGGATAATCTGCATGTGTAGCGATTCTGCCACCCCCCTCACCATGATAGGAAGGGGTTGACGCTTAAAACGACATACCTTACCGTGCGCACTCCCATCTCAATCGCTAAGGTCTTTCAAGGAGCGGATCTAACACTTTGAAATCTTTCCATAAAAACGAGTTGTGTCAGTCGCACTAAAGAATTAACATCCGCCCTCATTACGCCAAATAGGACTATACATCTTGAACGATATCTCTATTATCGCTAATACTTGTACTATGCCCGACCGTAGCTGCTACCTTGACGTGGTGGTCGGGCTTGCCTATCGTGATGACCCAGCCAGGCTATATTGGCTGGAAAATAGGTTGCTGTAGGTTCTACTACCATGTCAGGCAGGTCGATTGGAGAACGATGAGACTAAAAGCAGCTACTCAAGGTCTGAGGGAGAAGTCGTACTGCTGAATGCAGAGGAGTGTTACAGCAGTAAGGTGTTTCCCTTCGGAAAACCAGCATCTGCAGCGATGCTGCCTTCTCACAAGGAATAAAGGGTTAGAAAAGGTTGACCCTGCCGTCTCCGTCGTGAAGGGTGCCTATTAAGGGCTTTTAAGAGCTGAGCTTATACTTACCATTCATCAAATGGCCGTGTGTAACCGGCCTCAAGCTGTTGTCCTCTGGACTCTGCGGAAACGCACCTAGGTCTCTAAGACCAACGCTAATATACCTTCCTTTTCAGGTTCCTCTAGAAACAACCCTCCACGGTGTGGGCATCCGTCAAGTGACAACCGCCCTCAGACCCGTAATAGCATACGAGAGCAAATTGGTCAAATTCAAATCCTTCCTACGTATGACTTCTACTATGAGATTTGAATTGACAATTGCATCTTTGGATGCTAATGTCGTATTATAGTGACTTGAACTAATTGTACGTACAAAGTTCTACGTTGTAGCTAGCTGACTGTCGTCTCCCAGTTTTCATAATATCCTCTCAATTGGAATGGCAGTCTAACATTACAAATAAATAGGAATCATTTTCATAAATATAATTCTAGTTTTTGTAACGCTTACTGAAAACTGATTATTATAAGTAGTATGTTTAGTAGATGATGTGTGTGTGTGTGACTGCTTTAAACTATTGAATATAAAAACTTAAATTCATAGCTATTATCTATAGATGTATGAAATTGCGGGTATGAGGGCGGTTATCACTTCCCGGCTGCCCACACCGTGGAAGGCTGTTTCTTGAGGTACCTGAAAAGGAAAATAGATTAGTGATGCGTGACCGCAGAGTACAAGGGACAACTGCTTGAGGCCGGTCACGCACGGCCTTTGTATTAAATGAATTTTGAGTATTAGCTACGTTCTTAAAGGCCATTACTGGGCACCCTTACCCAAGGAGACGGAAATCCGTGAGTTAGGGGAGGTGTGACATTTTTAGGGCCGACCTTTTCTAACCCTTCCTTCCTTGTGAGAAGGCAGCATCGCTGCAGATGCCGGTTGTCCAAGGGAAACACCTTACTGCTGTCATACCCCTCTGCAGTCAGCAGTACGACTTCGCCCTCAGATCTTGAGTAGCTGCTTTTAGTCTCATCGTTCTCCAATCGACCTGTCTGGCATGGTAGAACCTTGAGGAACATATGTTCCAGCCAGTATAGCTCGGTTGGGTCATCACGATAGGCAAGCCCGACCACCACGTCAAGGTAGCAGCTTCGGTCGGGATGTATGAAATTGTTACAAGTAATTTCATTGGCTTATTAAGGATATTTTGGTCGACCCGAAAAAATATGAAAATATTTTCTAAACTAAAGTAAACAAATACATATGAATTATTATTTTCAGGTTGTGGAGATTTTGGAATTTTTGATTGAAATCATCAATCGATCGATCCATGTTGTTGAACCACCTTGAGAAACTTGTTATTGTCAGAAGATTGCATGTTTCACAGGATCACATATATATCTATAGATAGAGGTTAGGCATTCGCATGGAGGACTGGAGTTCTTCGGTTCGAATCCGGCAGGTGCCAGAGTCATGGATGCGCACTGTTGATGAGTAGTTCCATACCGGGACTAAACGTCTGTCTAGTGCTTTAAGGTTTCTAATGGTGATGGTCTAACAATAATTGATTGATTGATGATTTCAACATGTGAAAAAAACACTCATCGCCATAACTTAAATTGAAAAAATCATATTTCTATGTGTTTATATGAATATGTGCATAGATTATTCCAAGAATTCACAGTTATTTATCCAATGGCAGGTAATTGCTCTGCAAGCTAAACAACATTTCTACAACAGGACTATTAATAAACAGTTAGAAAAAGAAACGGTAGCTAACAAAATTAAAAATGAAGTGTTTACTAACTAGTTCAGTGGACGTCAATTAATATAACATGCGAATAGTGAACAAGAATTGATTGGAATCAGTTAAACAAAAGTATTTAGTCTATTTAATGTTTGTCTACAATGAGCCACAAAGTAACGGGTTGGTTCTCTCTATAAATTTCAACTTTGTGTATTGTGTTACTAACAGTAAATAATGGTTTGAGGATCTGGCAACACGACAGGCTACTCTAATCCGAACGTCGCAAACCCCCATCGAGTAAAAGAAGATGACTTGGTATGAGGTAGAATATGTATTTTACAAGCATTCAGAAAGTACGAGGTCTGAGTCCGGAAGAGAATCAGCATCCCGGACTAGGGGTCCGGGTCACGAAACGTTATAGACAATGCGTATTTATATAGTTAGGTCGAATAAGAAACCATTTTAAAGTCCGTGACTGTTAGGATATTCATCTAATATCCTAAGAGAATTATTGGTTAATTCCTATTGGTCAATTTTATGGTTGTCCTAAATATCAATGTCACGTGCTCCAATTGTGTTTCTTATTGGTTGTCCTGACTATCAATGTCACTTCAAATGTTTTTTTCTTATTGGTCGTTTTAACTGTCAATGTCACAGACTTCGATGCTGTTTCCTATTCGACCTCAAGGTATAAATACGCATTATCTGTAACGTTTCATGACCAGGACCAGGACCAGGACTTGGTCACGGATCCCTAGTTCGGGATCCTGATTCTCTTCTGGACTCAAACCTCGTACTTTCTGAATGCTTGTAGAATACAGGTTCTACTTCATATCAAGTCTTGTCTTCTTATTTTTACTCAATATGGGGGTTGGAATAATCGGATTTGAGTAGCATGTCGTGTCACCGGATCCTCGCTCTCGTTTTCCGACTAAGGTAAACTCGTAATAGTTCAAGCATATCAAGTTGACGTGTTTACGTGCAGGCGTAACAGTGACATTGACAGTCAAGACGACTAATAGGAAACAACACTCGGAGTATGTGACCTTGATAGTTAGAACGACTAATAGGAATTGACCAATAGAATTAGACTTCTAAAAATAATTCTCTTAGGAAGGATATTGCATGAATATTCTAACATAAATAGCATCAACTTAACAGGAATCTGACTTATTTCAGCATAACAGGTTTTATTCATTATTTTAGTATGGAGATCGTTGTCTTCCATTTTAACTTATGGATCTCGATCAAGGTTACATTGAATATTGAAAGCCTGGAAGCACTTGATTGGCTGTGTCCCACTGTGTGTTATGTCACTTGTCGGTAGAAGTGCGCATCCATAATTTCTGCTCGTGAGAATTGAACTTAGGACCTTCGGTTTTACACACGAACATTAAAGTGAACAACTTTGTGTACTAGATGTACTTGAAACAAATAAACATCAATCAACTCAATGAAATCTGACTTTGAATATTACTTACTTACTTACTTACTTACGCCTTTTACCCCCAATGGAGCATAGACCGCCCACCAGTCCTGAGCCTCCCTTTCCAATTCTGTCCAATGTCTGTTCATTCTTCTCATATCTTTCTCTATTTCTCGGTGTAATATGTTCCTTGGCCTTCCTCTTTTCCTTTTGCATTGAGGGTTCCATGTGAGGGCTTGTTTCGAGACGCAGTTAGGTGCTTTTCGTATTGTGTGTCCTATCCACTTCCACCGCTGTTTCCTGATTTCCTCCTCCACTCGAATCTGGTTTGTTCTCTCCCACAGTTCGTTGTTGCTGATCGTGTCTGTCCAACGAATACGAAGTATTTTGCGTAGACAACTGTTAATAAACACTTGTATCTTTTGGGTGATGGCTTTGGTAGTTCTCCATGTTTCCGCTCCATACAGTAGAACTTTTTGACATTTGTATTGAAAGTTATGATTTTGGTTTTGTTTGAAAGTTGTTTGTAGTTCCAGAGATTTTTCTTCTTATTTTGACTATCTTCTAGTTGGGTGATCTGATTATTTTAACTAACTGAGTTTTACTCAGTTTATTCATAATTATTACTAACGTTTATTCATTACGTAATCACTTATTTCTAGCCGTTTAGACTTTTGTTATAATCAGTGTTGTAGTGTGTTCTGCAGAAAGTATGCATATGTATTTACAATCTTTTATTCGTTTCTATTAAAACTGTTTTCTGGTTGTAAGCAGTTGACCAAAAGAATCAATACGAAGCAGGTGTAGAGCATTGGCGAGCGACTGAAGCGAATCGTATGGAGCGATGTGGAGAAGCAGCGGATAAAACGAAGTGGAAAGACGCGAACTGGAGAAGGCTTTTGAGCCAACTCAAAGAGATAGAACGTGACTAAGAATATATAGTCAGACAAAAATAAGACACATATGACAAGCGAAATAGGCGTGCACACACATGAATAAAAGTGACAAATGATTGACAAGGTCAAATGAGAAGTGGAACATGTCATGTGAGCTCATACAAACCAGACAATAATAAGAACGAATGGT